AACTCTATACCAAATCATATCAAGCAAGAGAACAGCAAAATCAGGTTTAAATTTTTATTAAAACAGTATCTTTTAACAAAGAATACTTTATAAATAATTTTAATAGTTTATGGTAAACTGCTGGGTAGTGAAAGCTTGTGTTTGACTAGCCATTGATATGTATGAGTGAGAGTGCTGGATGCATGCAGTGGTATGGGATTTCCTGCCTTTGAGATTGGTGTTGGCTGTATGCATGTGCAAAAGTGAGCAAATGTCATATCAATGGGATATTAATTGAAAAATTATTGTGTCACTCTTATTTGTATCTGTATCTGTATCTATCTGTATTTGTTTTCTTTTGTTTCTGTGGCATCATGTAATGTTATGTTGTATGTTGTATGTACACTAACAAAAATGTATATGTGTGATGGCTGTGGACCCCAGGAAGAATAGCTATGGTTTCCGTGCTAATGGGGATCCAAATAAACCTTAACCTTAACCTTCAAGCTCTCTTGTCATCCAGGCATCCTGAGAACTAGAGATATTCTGCAGCAGCACTTCTCGTGGGCCACCCTAGAGGAAGACACACAAGAGCTGTCAACGCCTGCCCTCTCTGCAGTCAAAACAAGCCCTCACCTCATCAACTGTGGTCCCACATCTCCCTGGACTTTGTCACTGGTCTGCCATCGTCAGATAGGAACACTGTTATTCCAGTGGTGGTGGATTGGTTCAGGAGATGGCGCACTTCATACTCCTTCCCAAGTTGCAGTAGGCCAAAGAGACTGTCATCCTCCTTCTGCAGCATGTTTTCTGGCTCCATGGAATCCTCGCTGATGTGGTCTCTGACCGAGGGCCCCCATTTCGTGTCCTTCTTCTGCAGGGAGATCTGCACACTGCTCGGGGCCACGGCCAGCCTGACCTCTGGGTTTCACCCCAATCCAACAGCCAGACAGAACACACACCTATGTTGTGATGATGCTGTTTATTCAGCATCTTGATACGCCACACTTGACAGGAGGATGGATTGTCTTGGAAAAAAGAGAAGTGCTCACCAACATGAACGTGTTGCTATTAAATATTTTGTTCAGTATATACACATACATACATATATACTGTATATACATATATATATATACATATATATGTGTATCTATATAT